TAGTAGTAGTAGTAGTAGTAGTAGTAGTAGTAGCAGTAGTAGTAGTAGCAGTAGTAGTAGTAGCAGCAGTAGTAGTAGTAGTAGTAGCAGTAGTAGTAGTAGCAGTAGTAGTAGCAGTAGAGCAGTAGTAGTAGTAGTAGTAGTAGTAGTAGCAGTAGTAGTAGTAGTAGTAGCAGTAGTAGCAGTAGTAGCAGTAGTAGCAGTAGCAGTAGCAGTAGCAGTAGCAGTAGCAGTAGCAGTAGCAGTAGCAGTAGTAGCAGTAGCAGTAGCAGTAGCAGTAGCAGTAGCAGTAGCAGTAGCAGTAGCAGTAGCAGTAGAGCAGTAGTAGTAGTAGTCATGCTAGTATCAGGTATATATATTGCTACAAGGGTAAAATCACCCCATGGATAAATAGTTCAAATATTTAACTGTTATATTCAAATTAATCAACACAAACACGCACAACTGCAGAGCAACACACACACACACATACACACAGGACACACACACACACACACACACACACACACACACGGGACACAACACAGAAGGAAACTGCAGATTCTCATCATGTACACATCTTGGAGAACGCTTTAATTCAGAGCGTTATAGTTTCATCGGCTCAAAAGGCGGAGGAGGCTTTGATGGAGCCTCCTGTTTACGCCCGGAGCCTCTTGGAGTTGGTATGTGCGCCGCGTGTGGAGCCCGGCTCACACACACACACACACACACAGTACAAATGTGATCTCAGAGAGCGCTAATGAAGAGAAACCTGTGACACGTCCAAACACAGACGTAAAGGACAGAATCATGACATCGTTCAGTTCGCTCCCGACACAAGCCTCGTCCAGGAAGAAGTACGCCATGTTTATTTATATGGCGCCTTTCACAGACCGCACGAGAGCCCTAAGAGTTGTGGGTAATTGCCGGACCTATTCTACATGATTTTAGTGGTAGGTGGAAACCGGAGCACCTGGAGGAAACCCTCGCAGGCATGAGGAGAGCATGCAAAAGACCTGTCTGTGAGGAGAATCTGGTTTGTTTTCATATTTCTGCTCATAAACACTAGTATTAAAGCAATGTATGTTAGCATTAGCATCTGTATACAGTCTGTGTTAGCATTAGCATCTGTATACATTCTGTGTTAGCATTGTCCATCTGTATACAGTCTGTGTTAGCATTAGCAACTGTATACAGTCTGTGTTAGCATTAGCATCTGTATACAGTCTGTGTTAGCATTAGCATCTGTATACAGTCTGTGTTAGCATTAGCATCTGTATACATTCTGTGTTAGCATTGTCCATCTGTATACAGTCTGTGTTAGCATTAGCATCTGTATACATTCTGTGTTAGCATTGTCCATCTGTATACAGTCTGTGTTAGCATTAGCATCTGTATACAGTCTGTGTTAGCATTAGCATCTGTATACAGTCTGTGTTAGCATTAGCATCTGTATACATTCTGTGTTAGCATTGTCCATCTGTATACAGTCTGTGTTAGCATTAGCATCTGTATACAGTCTGTGTTAGCATTAGCATCTGTATACAGTCTGTGTTAGCATTGTCCATCTGTATACAGTCTGTGTTAGCATTAGCATCTGTATACAGTCTGTGTTAGCATTAGCATCTGTATACAGTCTGTGTTAGCATTGTCCATCTGTATACAGTCTGTGTTAGCATTGTCCATCTGTATACAGTCTATGTTAGCATTGTCCATCTGTATACAGTCTGTGTTAGTATTAGCATCTGTATACGGCCTGTGTTAGCATTAGCATCTGTATACAGTCTGTGTTAGCATTAGCATCTGTATACAGTCTGTGTTAGCATTAGCATCTGTATACAGTCTGTGTTAGCATTAGCATCTGTATACAGTCTGTGTTAGCATTAGCATCTGTATACATTCTGTGTTAGCATTAGCATCTGTATACAGTCTGTGTTAGCATTAGCATCTGTATACAGTCTGTGTTAGCATTAGCATCTGTATACAGTCTGTGTTAGCATTAGCATCTGTATACAGTCTGTGTTAGCATTGTCCATCTGTATACAGTCTGTGTTAGCATTAGCATCTGTATATAGTCTGTGTTAGCATTGTCCATCTGTATACAGTCTGTGTTAGCATTAGCATCTGTATACAGTCTGTGTTAGCATTATCCATCTGTATACAGTCTGTGTTAGCATTAGCATCTGTATACAGTCTGTGTTAGCATTAGCATCTGTATACAGTCTGTGTTAGCATTATCCATCTGTATACAGTCTGTGTTAGCATTAGCATCTGTATACAGTCTGTGTTAGCATTAGCATCTGTATACAGTCTGTGTTAGCATTAGCATCTGTATACAGTCTGTGTTAGCATTGTCCATCTGTATACAGTCTGTGTTAGCATTAGCATCTGTATACAGTCTGTGTTAGATTAGCATAGTCTGTGTTAGCATAGCATCTGTATACAGTCTGTGTTAGCATTAGCATCTGTATACAGTCTGTGTTAGCATTAGCATCTGTATACAGTCTGTGTTAGCATTGTCCATCTGTATACAGTCTGTGTTAGCATTAGCATCTGTATACAGTCTGTGTTAGCATTGTCCATCTGTATACAGTCTGTGTTAGCATTAGCATCTGTATACAGTCTGTGTTAGCATTAGCATCTGTATACAGTCTGTGTTAGCATTAGCATCTGTATACAGTCTGTGTTAGCATTAGCATCTGTATACAGTCTGTGTTAGCATTAGCATCTGTATACAGTCTGTGTTAGCATTGTCCATCTGTATACAGTCTGTGTTAGCATTGTCCATCTGTATACAGTCTGTGTTAGCATTAGCATCTGTATACAGTCTGTGTTAGCATTATCCATCTGTATACAGTCTGTGTTAGCATTGTCCATCTGTATACAGTCTGTGTTAGCATTAGCATCTGTATACAGTCTGTGTTAGCATTAGCATCTGTATACAGTCTGTGTTAGCATTAGCATCTGTATACAGTCTGTGTTAGCATTGTCCATCTGTATACAGTCTGTGTTAGCATTAGCATCTGTATACAGTCTGTGTTAGCATTAGCATCTGTATACAGTCTATGGTAGTTTACAGTCTTCCTCCTCCAGCTCATCTGGGGGAATCCTGAGGCGTTCCCAGGACACAGAGAGACACAGTCCCTCTGTGTCCTGGGTCTGCCCCTGGTCTCCTCCCGGTGGGACAGGCCCAGAACACCTCCTCAGAGAAGTGTCCAGGCTACAACCCAAACAGACGCCCGAGCCGCCTACACTGGCTCCTATCCACGTGGAGAAGCAGCGGCTCTACTCCGAGCTCCTCCTGTGGCAAGTAGAAATCGAGCTACTCTCTCTATTTTGTAAGAGAGTGGCGAGTTATAGCATTAAAAAAGTAGAAAACTGTCTTGTTCCTCCATGTCTCTTTTTATTTATTTTTTCAATGGATTTATTTCTGTTTATGTTGTATCTTGTTTATCATTTCTAGATACATTTTGCATATGTTTGAAATACAATTCTCACTACTGCTACTTCCTCCCTGCTGCTTCCTGGACTCGGCGTTCGGAGGCTGCTAAGGTTTTCTCTTGTGAATTCTGAAGGCACTGCTAAGTACAATAAACACAATGTTGTCAAAAGTAGATTTTTTTTTGGGGGTGTTTTTTCGTGAGTTATGAAAGTGCAAAATTGCAGGCAGCACCGTGTAGACTGAACGTTTGCATTCAATAGAGCTGTTGGGAATTGGTGACACTTTGGAAAAGTCGAAAAGGTTTATAAAAATAGGTAAGTATCACAAAATAACAGACTGCAGAAAACCCCATCACTGCGGGAGAGGAATATCAGAGTAGTTCAAGTCAGTCCCAATACTCACTGAAGTCGTTATCATTAATAATAAGTAATATTCTCCCTCGACAAATTCAAGCAGCATTAATGGAACTGTGAAGTGGGAGGGGCTTAAGTTTCAGGAAGTTACCATTCAAAGTTCCCATTGGATTATAGCAAATTTCAAATATTATGAGATCGAAGATTCAACCGAGGCTAACTGGATACCTGCTAACTAGCAACATGCTAACAAGACACCTGTGAACTAGCCACCTGCTAACTAGCCACATGCTATTTAGACACCTGCAAACTAGCCATCTGCTAACTGCTATCCACAGTGTTGATAATAATCTGGACTGTTAAATTTCAATTGTGTGTATTTGTATACTAGAATTTGAAGAATTTGAAATGAACCAGACTCAGTTAAAGTGAACAAGACTCAGGTAAAGTGAACCAGACTCAGGTAAAGTGAACCAGACTCAGTTAAAGTGAACCAGACTCAGGTAAAGTGAACAAGACTCAGGTAAAGTGAACCAGACTCAGGTAAAGTGAACCAGACTCAGTTAAAGTGAACCAGACTCAGGTAAAGTGAACAAGACTCAGGTAAAGTGAACCAGACTCAGTTAAAGTGAACCAGACTCAGGAAAAGTGAACCAGACTCAGGTAAAGTGAATCAGACTCAGGTAAAGTGAACCAGACTCAGGTAAAGTGAACCAAACTCAGTTAAAGTGAACAAGACTCAGGTAAAGTGAACAAGACTCAGGTAAAGTGAACCAGACTCAGGTAAAGTGAACCAGACTCAGGTAAAGTGAACCAGACTCAGGTAAAGTGAACCAGACTCAGGTAAAGTGAACCAGACTCAGTTAAAGTGAACAAGACTCAGGTAAAGTGAACCAGACTCAGGTAAAGTGAACCAGACTCAGGTAAAGTGAACAAGACTCAGGTAAAGTGAACCAGACTCAGTTAAAGTGAACCAGACTCAGGTAAAGTGAATCAGACTCAGGTAAAGTGAACCAGACTCAGGTAAAGTGAATCAGACTCAGGTAAAGTGAACCAGACTCAGGTAAAGTGAACCAGACTCAGGTAAAGTGAATCAGACTCAGGTAAAGTGAACCAGACTCAGGTAAAGTGAACCAGACTCAGGTAAAGTGAACTAGACTCACTTAATCTACACCTGATATTCCTTCACACACACACTGTCGTACTGCAGCCGTTCCGAGTCTTTATCAAGGAGACAGTTTGCGCACATCAAAAAACACCGCCGGCTCGTCCTGCTCCGCGCTGTTGATCACGATGCTCGGGTGAGTCTCTTGCGTTTCCGTGGAGACCGTAGAATTGGTCGAAGGGGTCGAAGGGGTCTTCCCGAAGCGCTGCCCGTCCACCGACAGCAGCATGGGAGTCCCTGATTTCCCCATCCCCTCTGAAAGCGCCATGAGCATCTCGTCAGGCGTCGTCCCCATGTCTTTGCTGTATTCCGACGGCGATTTCCTCTTCATCCTTTCGTAGCTTTTATCCGGGTTTTCTGTGATGGTTTCGCAGTCCTGGAATCTCCCAAACAGCCAGACGAAGAAGCCGAACAGCACGAACGCAGCGAGACTCGGAATGAAAGCCAGGCATTTGACGTCCAGGCTGGCCCCCACGAAGCGGCTGTGCAGGAACATGTCCCGGTCCACGTAGGACTGGTTGGTGCGAGGGTCCGTGTTGCTGCTGCGCCACTCATACGTCAGGGTGGAGTGGTTGAAGAGGACCAGAGTTTCGGGTTCCTCCACCGTGAAGATCTTCTCTCCCGGACCCACGTACTGGCCGTACTCGTAAGGCTGGTAGAACATCTGGTTCTTCCACATGTTCAGGTCCAGGATCAGGACCAAGAAGATGATGCCGTAGTTGAACCACTTTCCTGAAACGAGAGATGTCAAAGTTATATTTTTATTCAGTTCAATAAAAAAAAATGTTTTGGTTTTAGACAATTTTCATAAAAGTTCAGAGGGAACGGAATGACCACTGTCCGTGAAAACCCATAAATGTCCAGGATCATCACTGTCCTTAGACCCTCCGGCTTCAACAAGCAACCACCCAAAAACGCAGTGGAAAAAAGTGAAAATAAAAAAAACCTCAGCTCTATAAAGACTTAAGGAGCAGTTTGTAAACATGTGGACAAAAGTGGTACTGCAGCCTCTCCCACTCTCCCTGACTCAGGTTGCCAGATATGCAGACGAATCCAGCTGGGACCATAACAGCTGAATAGACAAGAGTTTTGTCAACAACAAATCTATAACCAACACCTTTTTCACAAAGATAGAAATCCTGGTTTTATTCCTTGTTTTGTCGTTAATGATTTAAGAATCATAACGAGACCTTTTTTAGTTCTGCGGCCACATGGTACTTTACCAGTGAGATTAGCTTGACAATTCTGCCAACCCGGATCCCAGACTTTCTGATTGGTAAAACGGTGGAGGGCGAGACCTTGAAATGAAAACAAAAACAAGATTTATGGGCTGTAAAACTACTTTCTCGCTCTGATCTACTGTTATCAGTTAAAGAAGTATTCGATAAGAGCATGGTTCATTAATGCCTTTTGACAGATTAGGGCCCTTTAATGATGACTTGACATGAAAATCTTACATAGCTGCTTTAAACAAGTGGATCCAAACACATCCATGCAGACCCAGAACTCACTGTGACCCCACATTCCACTATCCATTTTTAACTCTAGGCTTTTAACTGTTTTTTTTTCTTTAACTTTGTACCTTTTGTACGACAACCTTGAGTTCCCAGAAAGGTGCCATATAAATAACATTAAAACCAAGGCCCTGTGTTGTCCCTTGTGATTCCTTTTCTCTCCTCTCTAGTCCCCATTTCGCTTTATCTTTCAAATCAAAAATATATATCCTGGAATTAACATAAATGCCCCTTGTCCTGCCTAATGTGAGCGACACCTGCTGCAGAGCCGTATTCTCCTTCCCCCTCCTCATCGACGCTGGTAATGAGCTCTTAGTTAAACCAATCACGTCGCAGTACAGTCATTTCCATAATGTTTAATGTCCAGGATGCTTCGGGGTTAACGGTCTCTGGAGACTCGCTGAGCGTTACGGCGTTTTCGGTGTCATAAAGAAACGTGTCTTTACTGCTGCTGTGCTCGACTGGGCAAACTGTAGGAACGAGGACCAACGCTTTTATTGCTATTATTTCATCTCAGAGCTGCGGAATTCAAACATTTAGAGCAATTAGAGCCTGTACGACCGGTCTGGGGCCTCATTTTGAAAAGTTTGAATTGATTTTTTACTGGACTTGTGTCTATACCAAACTAAAAATTCTCAAACTTTTCACTTCTTGTTTGTTCAGCAGGTGACAGTTCAATCAATTTTTAAGCCTCAGTCCTGGATCTACATTCTCAGTCCTGGATCTACAGCCTCAGACCTGGATCTACGGCCTCAGTCCTGGATCTACAGCCTCAGTCCTGGATCTACAGCCTCAGTCCTGGGTCTACAGCCTCAGTCCTGGATCTACAGCCTCAGTCCTGGATCTACAGCCTCAGTCCTGGATCTACAGCCTCAGTCCTGGATCTACAGCCTCAGTCCTGGATCTACAGCCTCAGTCCTGGGTCTACAGCCTCAGTCCTGGATCTACAGCCTCAGACCTGGATCTACAGCCTCAGACCTGGATCTACAGCTTCAGACCTGGATCTACAGCCTCAGACCTGGATCTACAGCCTCAGACCTGGATCTACAGCTTCAGACCTGGATCTACAGCCTCAGTCCTGGGTCTACAGCCTCAGTCCTGGATCTACAGCCTCAGTCCTGGATCTACAGCCTCAGTCCTGGGTCTACAGCCTCAGTCCTGGATCTACAGCCTCAGACCTGGATCTACAGCTTCAGACCTGGATCTACAGCCTCAGACCTGGATCTACAGCCTCAGACCTGGATCTACAGCCTCAGTCCTGGATCTACAGCCTCAGTCCTGGGTCTACAGCCTCAGTCCTGGATCTACAGCCTCAGACCTGGATCTACAGCTTCAGACCTGGATCTACAGCCTCAGACCTGGATCTACAGCCTCAGTCCTGGATCTACAGCCTCAGACCTGGATCTACAGCCTCAGTCCTGGATCTACAGCCTCAGACCTGGATCTACAGCTTCAGACCTGGATCTACAGCCTCAGACCTGGATCTACAGCCTCAGACCTGGATCTACACCCTGTCTGTCTCTGACCTCCTTGAGACTTCTCAGAGTTTGGTGCTCTGTGTACTGGGTGGCATCTCTGGCCACCCCCCCGACCCAGAAATGGATTAAGGGGAAGAAAATGGATGGATGGATGGATAAAAAGGACAGTAGTCATCCTGTTCCCTACGGCCTAATGGCTCCTGAATGTTTGTTAGAGTTCAGGCAGTTCGAACCTTCTGATTCTCTGATCTGTGAAGTCCTCTGAGACGACTTCTGCTGTGATTGCCATACACAAAAACATTAAATAAAATAATTCACCTTTAAATGAATATTATAAATACAGCACAAACCAATTAGTCGCTGCGTAGAATGTCTTTGTATAAAACCCTTCTTAATTATGAAACCTTTGTGTGTTTTACATGATTACATGTCTTTCGTGTGACGTGGTTCTAATATTCCTGTCTCCGCGGCCTCCACGCTCTGTGAGGTCTGTGAGCTGGGATACAGAGCAGGGTGGGCAGCCCGATTGTCTGCTCTGAGCACAAATGGGTCCTGTATGAGTTTCTCCACAGACGCATATTCAAAAGCATTCAGAGGCACTGGTGTGAGAAGTGATGATATGCACCACACCAAATTACACACACACACACAGAATGAGACAGAGACAAAGAGAGAGAGAGACACACACACACACACACACACACAGAATGAGACAGAGACAAAGAGAGAGAGAGACACACACACACACATATATTCTGATATACATTCAGGGCCTCAGTCATCAAACTCCTGCCTGGAATCGGGGACAGTGCAGCAGCCAGGCATGTGCAATGATCACAGCGTGCAGAGAAATAGGCCACACTTTGTCTCCCGCTGGATATTTTTATATTTTGGACATTTTCTTCCACCACATCTGTTATCTGCAGCCCCTCGCTTCAGTCTGCAGCCGCCGCATGGAACAATGAATGGTGGTTGTGTTTGGTCCCAGCCATGTTCCTAAATATAGACTCATAGTAAAACACTGACCTTTTTTCTAGCGTTAGTTTTAGACGGGATTTCTCGCTCTGTTGTGTTTTAGTCGTAGTGCTGTGAAGGTCAAAGCTGTAGTTTTTCACACTTTCAAACGTCTGTAGAGTGTGTTACTGAAAGATAGTTTGTGATTGTAAAGTGTGTATTGGTTATGAAATTGTTCTTTCATTATGTATTTATACTCAGACCAATCACAATCCAGTCAAGATTAATCATATTTTTAATCAAGATATTGCCTATATTGCTATTGTTTCCACCAGCCCTGCTCTCCTAGTGTCCGTTCACTACTGTCTGTTCACTACTGTCTGCTCACTACTGTCTGCTCACTACTGTCTGCTCACTACTGTCTGCTCACTACTGTCTGTTCACTACTGTCTGCTCACTACTGTCTGTTCACTACTGTCTGTTCACTGTCTGTTCACTACTGTCTGTTCACTACTGTCTGTTCACTACTGTCTATTCACTACTGTCTGTTCACTACTGTCTGCTCACTACTGTCTGCTCACTACTGTCTGCTCACTACTGTCTGCTCACTACTGTCTGTTCACTACTGTCTGCTCACTACTGTCTGCTCACTACTGTCTGCTCACTACTGTATGTTCACTACTGTCTGTTCACTGTCTGTTCACTACTGTCTGTTCACTGTCTGTTCACTACTGTCTGTTCACTACTGTCTGTTCACTACTGTCTATTCACTACTGTCTGTTCACTACTGTCTGCTCACTACTGTCTGCTCACTACTGTCTGCTCACTACTGTCTGCTCACTACTGTCTGCTCACTACTGTCTGCTCACTACTGTCTGTTCACTACTGTCTGCTCACTACTGTCTGCTCACTACTGTCTGTTCACTACTGTCTATTCACTACTGTCTGTTCACTACTGTCTGTTCACTACTGTCTGTCTGCTCACTACTGTCTGTTCACTACTGTCTGTCTGCTCACTACTGTCTGTTCACTACTGTCTGTTCACTACTGTCTGTTCACTACTGTCTGTTCACTACTGTCTGCTCACTACTGTCTGCTCACTACTGTCTGTTCACTGTCTGCTCACTACTGTCTGTTCACTACTGTCTGTTCACTACTGTCTGCTCACTACTGTCTGTTCACTGTCTGCTCACTACTGTCTGCTCACTACTGTCTGCTCACTACTGTCTGCTCACTACTGTCTGTTCACTACTGTCTGTTCACTACTGTCTGTTCACTGTCTGCTCACTACTGTCTGCTCACTACTGTCTGTTCACTACTGTCTGTTCACTATTTTCTGTTCACTACTGTTTGTTCACTACTGTCTGTTCACTACTGTCTGCTCACTACTGTCTGTTCATTACTGTCTGTTCACTACTGTCTGTTCACTACTGTCTGCTCACTACTGTCTGTTCACTACTGTCTGCTCACTACTGTCTGTTCACTACTGTCTGTTCACTACTGTCTGCTCACTACTGTCTGTTCACTACTGTCTGTTCACTACTGTCTGCTCACTACTGTCTGCTCACTACTGTCTGTTCACTACTGTCTGTTCACTGTCTGCTCACTACTGTCTGCTCACTACTGTCTGTTCACTACTGTCTGTTCACTATTGTCTGTTCACTACTGTTTGTTCACTACTGTCTGTTCACTACTGTCTGCTCACTACTGTCTGCTCACTACTGTCTGTTCATTACTGTCTGTTCACTACTGTCTGTTCACTACTGTCTGCTCACTACTGTCTGTTCACTACTGTCTGCTCACTACTGTCTGTTCACTACTGTCTGTTCACTACTGTCTGCTCACTACTGTATGTTCACTACTGTCTGTTCACTGTCTGTTCACTACTGTCTGTTCACTACTGTCTGCTCACTACTGTCTGCTCACTACTGTCTGTTCACTACTGTCTGTTCACTGTCTGTTCACTACTGTCTGTTCACTACTGTCTGCTCACTACTGTCTGCTCACTACTGTCTGTTCACTACTGTCTGTTCACTACTGTCTGTCTGCTCACTACTGTCTGCTCACCACTGTCTGCTCACTACTGTCTGTTCACTACTGTCTGTTCACTACCGTCTGTCTGTTCACTACTGTCTGCTCACTACTGTCGGTTCACTACTGTCGGTTCACTACTGTCTGTTCACTACTGTCTGTTCACTACTGTCTGTTCACTACTGTCTGCTCACTACTATCTGTTCACTACTGTCTGCTCACTACTGTCTGCTCACTACTGTCTGTTCACTACTGTCTGTTCACTACCGTCTGTCTGTTCACTACTGTCTGTTCACTACTGTCTGTTCACTACTGTCTGCTCACTACCGTCTGTCTGTTCACTACTGTCTGCTCACTACCGTCTGTCTGTTCACTACTGTCTGCTCACTACTGTCTGTTCACTACTGTCTGCTCACTACTGTCTGTTCACTACTGTTCATAGTATTTCATTTCAACTACAAATTTATCTTAAAAAATTATATTATTTCTGTTTCTGAATCTAATTTGTCTTGTAAATCTGTTTGGTGCAGTCTAAAGAGAATTCCGTGTACCTATGCTCCTTCATGTGTCTCTGTACCTATGCTCCTTCATGTGTCTCTGTACCTGTCCTCCCTCATGTGTCTCCGTACAGGTGCTCCCTCGTGTGTCTCTGTACCTATGCTCTTTCATGTGTCTCTGTACCTGTGCTCCCTCATGTGTGTCTGTACCTGTGCTCCCTCATGTTTGTATAAGAGTCTCTGTACCTGTGCTTTCTTATGTCTCAATACAAGTCCCTGTACCTGTGCTCCCTTATGTGTCTCTGTACCTGTGCTCCCTCATGTTTCTATAAGAGTCTCTGTACCTGTGCTTTCTTATATCTCGATGCCCCGTACCCCCACAGAACCCCCCAAAGGACACCCCGGGGAACGCGACGAACGCCTTCTCCAAATCCACAAAGCACATGTGGACAGGTTGGGCGAACTCCCATGAACCCTCGAGTATCCGATGGAGAGTATAGAGCTGGTCCAGTGTTCCGCGACCGGGACGAAAACCACACTGCTCCTCCTGGATCCGAGATTCCACCATCGGCCGTAGCCTCCTCTCCAGTACCTTGGAGTAGACCTTACCGGGGAGGCTGAGGAGTGTGATCCCACGATAATTGGAACACACCCTCCGGTCCCCCTTCTTGTAGAGAGGGACCACCACCCCGGTCTGCCACTCCATCGGCACTGCCCCCGATCGCCACGCGATACTGCAGAGACGTGTCAGCCAAGACAGTCCTACAACATCCAGAGACTTTAGATAGTCAGATACTCATCCACTCCCGCCGCCTTACCACCATGGAGGCTGCCAACCACCTTGGTGACCTCTGCCAGGGAGATGGAAGTATCCGCCCCAACATCCTCAGCCTCCGGGACGGAGGACGTGACGGGTGGATTGAGGAGAACTTCGAAGTATTCCTTCCACCGCCCGACAATATCCCCAGTCGCGGTCAGCAGCTCTCCACACGCACCGTACACGGTGCTGGCAAAGAACTGCTTCCCCCTCCTGAGGCGCCGGACGGTTTGCCAGAATCTCTTTGAGGCCGACTAACTCCTCCCAGTCCCGGGTACTGGACAGCTGGTACTGGACAGCTGCCTCAGGAGTCCCCCGAACCATCATGGCTCGATAGGACTCCTTCTTCAGCCTGACGGCATCCCTTACTGCCGGTGTCCACCACCGGGTTCGGGGGAAGCCGCCGGGACCAGCACCAGAGACCTTGCGACCACAGCTACGAGCCGCCTGTGCTCCCTCATGTTTCTATAAGAGTCTCTGTACCTGTGCTCCCTCATGTTTCTATAAGAGTCTCTGTACCTGTGCTCCCTCATGTTTCTACAAAAGCCTCTGTACCTGTGATGTGTATGTGGTACTCGTCCTTAAAGATGCGTTTGCAGACGGGCAGTTTGACTTTGACGTGAGTGGTGGACATCCCCGGCAGGTTCATGTCCAGGTCCCCCATGAAGTGAGGGAACTCCCAGTCCTGCAACACACAACACAGTCTGTGAAACACACTGCTACAGACACACAACACACTCTGTGACACACACTGCTACAGACACACAACACAATCTGTGATACGCACTGCTACAGACACACAACACAATCTGTGAAACACACTACTACAGACGCACAACACAACAGTCTGTGACACACAACACAATCTGTGACACACACTGCTACAGACACACAACTCAATCTGTGACACACACTGATACAGACACACAACTCAATCTGTGACACTCGCTACTACAGACACACAACTCAATCTGTGACACACACTGATACAGACACACAACTCAATCTGTGACACACAACTGATGTCACAACTGAAAGTCCTGGGTTCGAATCCTGGTCGAAACAGGGCCTTTCTATGTCTGTGTAGGTTTCCTCCGTGTGCTCCGGTTTCCCCTGCCACTGAATAAATGTACAACAGATCTGTTCCCATCTCCCGGAGAGAGACAAATGCCCACAATAACAACAGTAAAGTGCTTTGTGACTCTGGTCTGTGAAAGGCGTTGTGTAACTAAAGACTACTTACTTATGGTCACTATCACTGATTCCGGTTGGATTTGAACCACTAGACCTTCTCCATCGACTCCCACTGATGTCTGCTGCCATTGTGTCCTTAGGCAAGACACTTCCCCCACATTAGAATGAGTCTGGTGTGTGTGTGGATGGTTGGTGGTGGTGGGAGGGGCTGATGGCACATGGCTGTATAAAACCAATGCATTATTATTATTATTATTATTAAAACAGTTTCACATGTGCAGTATTTTTGGCTTCTGTCACATGTTTTATCTAATTATTCAGACTCTTTTTTTAAATAAAGTAAATATGTGTTTATGTCAGATTTATATTTATGATTATATTGATAATTTACTTTTGCGCACAATTAAGTTAAGTTAGGTTGGTTCAGTCCTGGTTCAGTCCTGGCCCAGTCCTTGTTCAGTCCTGGTCAGTGGGGGCGGGTCCCGGCTCAAAAGTGGCCAAAATGACGTGCGCTGACATGCTGCAATACCACCCCGGGCCTGTGGGGGTGGACCCTGAATAAGAATTAGCCAATGCTAACATATAGCATTAGCAGACCTCTCAAAAACATCTTCACAGGATGGTCCAAAAGTTGGCTCTTGGCCCAAAGCTCCGTTCCACATGTGTGTCAATGCTGAGGGGGGTGTTCTGGACCAGTCTAGTTTAGTCGCTGTGAATTTTTGAAGTCTCTCGTTCATTTTGGAAAACTCCAGTAGAGCAGTATTTGTTTGAACGGCGGAGATAGGCGTCACTGCTTCCGTTAATATATACAGTCTATGGTCCTGGTTCAGTCCTGGTTCAGTCCTGGCTCAGTCCTGACCCAGTCCTGGCTCAGTCATGGTTCAGTCCTGGCTCAGTCCTGACCCAGTCCTAGCTCAGTCCTAGTTCAGTCCTGGCTCAGTCCTGGCTCAGTTCTGGCTCAGTCCTGACCCAGTCCTACCTCAGTCATGGTTCAGTCCTGGCTCAGTCCTGGCTCAGTCCTGGATCAGTCCTGACCCAGTCCTACCTCAGTCATGGTTGAGTCCTGGCTCAGTCCTGGCTCAGTTCTGGCTCAGTCCTGACCCAGTCCTAGCTCAGTCATGGTTCAGTCCTGGCTCAGTCCTGGCTCAGTCCTGGATCAGTCCTGACCCAGTCCTACCTCAGTCATGGTTGAGTCCTGGCTCAGTCCTGGATCAGTCCTGACCCAGTCCAAGCTCAGTCCTAGTTCAGTCCTGGCTCAGTCCTGGCTCAGTCCTGACCCAGTCCAAGCTCAGTCCTGGTTCAGTCCTGGCTCAGTCCTGGCTCAGTCCTGGATCAGTCCTGACCCAGTCCTAGCTCAGTCCTAGTTCAGTCCTGGCTCAGTCCTGGCTCAGTTCTGGCTCAGTCCTGACCCAGTCCTAGCTCAGTCATGGTTCAGTCCTGGATCAGTCCTGACCCAGTCCTAGCTCAGTCCTAGTTCAGTCCTGGCTCAGTCCTGGCTCAGTCCTGGCTTAGCACTGGTCCATAGCATAGAACAACTTGATAATCAGTGGATATTTTCCCCTTTGAATAAAAAGACTGTAAAATCTTCCATATAATACAAGCTATAACTGTTTAAGAGAGTGATAATTATATAAATAAATATCCCTATCTTACAAACTCACTGAGAGTGGAAATGACGAGGGAAGACAACTGCAGCGCGGCCAAAAGCTGTGAAAAGTCGTTTCATGTTCAGTCCCTGAGCTCCCACATTTCCCAGAAGACATTGCAAACAAAACAGAAGCAGGAACTGGTAATTATTTTAACATAACTCAAGACTCCCAAGTCATTTAGAGCCGTTTTCAATTCAAAATGAGCCTATTTGATGTCACACTAAGGGCACAGCACAAAGGGTTCAAATCCCGGTCGTGAGTGGAGTTTGCATGTTCTCTCTGTCTGCGTAGGTTTCCTCCAGGTGCTCCAGTTTCCCTTACTACTAAAAACATGTACAAAAAGGCATATGGTGAGTATATAAGTTTGGGAGGTCGACGTTTGCCAGTATCTGATTGGCCGTTGTTACCACAGACCGACCACCACCCCTACCCCCTCTCTGGAGAAGTGAGTCCCAGGTGTGAGTCAAGGTGAAGGCCCCCTCGTCTCGGTTGATGGTCCTTGCTCCCTGCATCCAGATTTCAATCCCCTCTCGGCTCCATCTCTTGTATTTCTGTTCTTCTGTTCCTTTTATTTCTGCGTCGTCCCAGTCTATGATGTGATGTCCTCGTCTGCGGTGGTTGATTCAAGGTTTAGATTTACAGTACCACGAGACTACCGCCCAAAAATCTGGTGATTAAAAAGAGCTAGCTTCTTTTACTCTGTGTCTCATTAACAGAACCATATCAGAATCAGATGTATTTTTTGTATTGCCATCGTAAGTAAACTGGGAATTAGCTTTGGGTCGTGGCGCAAACAAGTTGTTAGAGTCATCATCGCCCCCTTCCATTCACACACACACCAGACTCAATCAAGGCAATGTGGGTGAAGTGTCTTGCCAAGGACACAACGGCAGCAGAAATCAGTGGGAGTCGGTGGAGAAAGTCATTCAGCATTTTACTCTGGACTAGCCTGGTCGTACCACACCATAGTACAAATTACATTTCGTTCTAAGGTCTGGAGGCGCTCCATTGAGCTCTGTTTACAGGTGGGAGGGGTTAACTCCTTTTCCAGATTGAAACGATTGGATCTGAGTTTACCGTGAGTGAGTTGTTAGCATTTAGCATATAGCCTAGCTTTAGCCATCTCCTTTGCTGCTCATGGAGCCCGTGGGGAGTAGCGCCACAATTTTTTCTAGTGATTACATTTACTAAACATTCCTCTTGCTCCGGCTTCAGTTTCTTGATAGAACCAGACCAGATTCTTCGCCAAACTACAACCTTCCCGTTCAACGCAAACTCTTGACGTCATCCACAACTAAATACAACACTCTCCTTCGGCGCTCGCTGGTAGGTCGGTCGAAATTCACTAACACGCAAACACAGGGACCAGACCCAGACGTTACATGCAGTGAAATGGTGATTGAGCGAAGTGCACGGATGGATAAGGCCAAGCTAACTCTGGACTAGAGCAGAGAAAATGATCCGAACCAAGCGGCTACTTCACCTCTGCTGCTGTGACCTGAAAGGCTGCTGAATTTTATTGTTACTATTGATAGCTTTTTAGAATCATCTATTTATTTGTTTTGTTTGTGTGGATGGATGTGTTTTTGCTGCTACTAGACCCGCCTGCATGGGAGACCCTGGTGGTATTGGAAGGATGGGTCAAATGCAGACGACACAATCCACCGTTTGAGAGAAGTATAGAAAGAATCCATGGCTCACTTCTTACACACAGTAACTACAGCTATTTCTTAACGATACCATTCATGTTTGATTCGCTTTTAATGAACACATACTGTACATAATGCCTCTTGTTCACATTATCCTCGTGTCCTTCTGGTCTCCACCTCCTCCACAGTTTTTTGGTGCATAAATTCAACACATGCTCCTATCCTCCTGCGATGGCGAGGGTCCCGGGTCTGCCGCGCTAACAGCTTGTGCCGATGCCCCCTGGATATTAATTAAGACTTCTTGTACAATCCCCGAGCTCAGATAGCAGTAGCTGTAGCACTAACGGGCATCATGGCATTTACAGCTTGAACTTTTGCTTAAATAATGAGCCTTCTCCGCGTGTGTACTGTATGTATGTGTTGTAGGTGCGGGAGCTAACAGAACGCAGCAGCAGCAAATGCAAATGTCCTGGAACACGCAGGATTAGCAGGGCAGGTATTATAGGAACGGAATATGCAAAAATGCAGCTCAGAGGGGAATCCACCAGGGTCATTATCTGCAGTATTAATTAGTGTGAGAACAAAATGAAGGGTGTTTTCTCATAGATGCAAACTGAACCTTGGACTTTTCCTTCATGGCGTGTGTCGTGCAGGTGGCTTTGTAGTTAAGGGCTGCTGCTGTTTGTGTAGAGGAGAGAGAAGGGCTACTTTACAGACAACATGTGTTTTCATGATTTATGAAGGCTATTTAAAGAACAAGTCCTGGATCTACAGCCTCGGTCCTGGATCTACAGCCTCAGTTTTAGATCCACATCCGCAGGCTTGATCTACAGCCTCAGTCCTGGGTCTACAGCCTCAGTCCTGGGTCTACAGCCTCAGTCCTGGATCTACAACCTCAGTCCTGGATCTACAGCCTCAGTCCTGGATCTACAGCCTCAGTCCTGGATCTACAGCCTCAGTCCTGGGTCTACAGTCTCAGTCCTGGATCTACAGCCTCAGTCTTGGATCTACAGCCTCAGTCCTGGATCTACAGCCTCAGTCCTGGGTCTACAGCCTCAGTCCTGGATCTACAGCTTCAGTCCTGGATCTACAGCCTCAGTCCTGGATCTACAGCCTCAGTCCTGGATCTACAGCCTCAGTCCTGGATCTACAGCCTCAGTCCTGGGTCTACAGCCTCAGTCCTGGATCTACAG